AAAAAAAAAAAATTGTGAAGTTCTGGTCTTTTCTCAGGATCTTAGATTCTTACTGAGTCAGGAAATTAGATGTATAATCGGGAACTAATCTCAAATGTGCCTTAAAGGGCGGTCATTAAACTCCTAAAACCTCAAATATTCTTTTGTTAGATCTTGTAATTAGTTTTGCAGCTCCACTCTGAAGAACCAGCACAGACCAGAGACTGATTGAATGTGCAAACTAAGCCATGTTAATATTGATTTTAGTCTGTGTTTCATTAAAACTCAACTTAAACTGGAGTAAAACTTTTTTTTTTTTCTAAAATAATAAATTGTAAATCCAAACTGTTAACAGCGAGACTGAGGGGGAAAGAGGAGGTGGAGGCAAAGCTCTCGGTGTTCTGCCTCTTTTATTACCTTCCTCCTCTCCTCTATTGATCAACATAAGCCTCTGATTTATAGCTCGGTGCTGCAAAGCCTGCTGGGTAATTACTAACGCTGAAAAGAGACAGGAAAGTTAAAGTGGGGGATGGGGGCGGGCGCTCACATAGACACACGTGTGTCTGCGCACACTACACAGAAATAGACGCGCAAATTTGCTTTCTATTCACACATACAAGCACACACACACACACACAAACATTAATAGTGTCTCATGTCTCTGAGAAAATCCACTAATGTTCAACATATATCATATCCCTCATTTATCAATGTATGCAAATCAATAAAAGGATATGAGACCGAATTAGTCTATGTCATAGATTGTTTTCAATGCTGATATACGGCAGCAGTGCAGAGTAGTGGAAATCTGATTACATTCTGTGTAAGATGGAAATGCTCAAATCAGACACTTAAGTTTGTCATCAGTCAGTCAGTGCAGCTGAGCTTGTGCCTGATTCATAAACAGCATGGCTGTGAAATCTCTGTGATGCTTGCACAAGGCTGTTTGTTCGGTATGTAAGTGAGCTTGTGTGTGTGTGTGTGTGTTTTTGTTTACCTGATGTGCTGTCGTGACCTTCCCTCTATGCAGTAACTCACCTGACGTCAGAGCAGCTTTGTTTTTTCTGTCCTGCTGCCGGCTGACTGACGCGCTCCCTCTTTTGTGTCCTCCAGTGAACAGCCTGGCCCGGTCCAAGTACTGCTGACGCCCAATCAGGAGGAGGAAGAGGACCAGGCAACGCCCAACAGGGATGCTGCTCTGGGCCAAGGCCAGAACCCGCCCCCTCCGCCCTATCGCCCCCCTCCCCCTCGACCCCCGCTCACCCTCAGCATCGCTCACCCTTGCGCACCTTCCAGCCAAGGGGAGGAGGAGGATGGATGCGCGGGCAGGAGAGGGGAGGAGGGGGAGGATGGGAGGGAGGGGACAGGGGTGAGGCTGTGTGAGTTGCTGCAGGCAGGGGGGGTGAGTGTCAGACCACTGGGGAAGCACTTAGCCATCTCTCTGCCCTCGCTTCCTCTGCATCTCTGGGATACACAAGTCACACACACCTCACACTCCGCACACCTTGAACCCACTCACGCACAGCCTCCCCCACCTCCTCCCCCTCCGACCTCTAATCCACCCCTGTCTTCCCCTCTGGAAGCCTCCGGGCAAAGGAAACCTCTCACGCCGCTCTGGCAACCACCGCGGCCCCATTCCCCCGCGGGCACTGCTCAGCATTGGCCGAGGGAAGAAGCTGCTTCAGAGACACGTCATTGGTCCTCCTGGAGTTTGGACCGCCCCGACGCAGTGGTGACGCCGTATGAGACACCCCCAGACCGCTGCATTCCCATCAGGCCGCAGGCATCCAGTCAAAACTACAGCTACAGTTGCCAGTCCTCTCCAGGTCACTACAGCTCCCAGCATACCCCAGGGCGACACAGTAATCCCTGCTGTGACCGCAAAGAGGCTGAGTTTTCTGAGCTTGATTCCCTTTACCAGGCCAGTCTGCAGGCTGGAAAGACAGGTACACACACACAGACACACACAGCCACCATAACACAATCTGTAACTATTGGAACATTTAAACCCACCATTCAGTGAAATTAATTGTGCTCAGAATATGACATGCCGTTGTGGCATAAGGACTAAATTATTAATTTTCACTATCAACTTAAATTATATTCACGATGCAAATCTCCTGTTGCACCACATCCCAAAGGCCTCTGCTGGATTGAGACCCGGTGACTGTGGAAGCCATTTGAATAAACCAGTTCGAGATGATCTGAGCTCTGTGTCTGCTGGAAGTAGCCATCAGAAGATGGTTGTGTGGGAAAATTCCCAGTAGATCAGCAGTTTCTGAAATACTCAGACCAGCCTGTCTGGCACCAGAAACATCTCATATTTAAAGAGATTTGTTTTTTGTCCATTCTGATATTTGATTTGAACTTTAGTTCACATTTTTGACCACGTTTTATTGCTTTCATATTGTATGGCTGATTCAATACATGTAGTGAGTGTGTTTAGGCCTTTTGATGTACGATAAAGAAAGGAATTAAGGATGTCATACATAGACTCTTAGGATCTTAGAAATTTGTAATAGATTTTTCACAATCTCTGCAAGTTTTATGGATTAAGAAAATTGGCAAAGTGGGAAAAAACACTAAATAGAAAGACAGAAAGGAGGGAAATGTAGAATCGCAGCGAGGCACATGAGAAAACAATAATAACACAGGAAACAACTAAATGGTGGAAACTACAAGGCATGTGACAGTATGTCTTTTATTTACAACATAGGCTACGTTCACACTGCAGGCGAAAGCGCATCAAATCCGATTTTTTTGACCCTATGCGACCCATATCCGATCATGGTATGACAGTGTGAAC